GGAGAAAACAGTGCAACAATGAATGAATGAAAACCCAAAATCTCTGTAAATGTTCATTAAAACTAATAAAATTTAATAATAAAAAAAAGAAAGTGACCAAACCAATATAGAATTTAAAGAAAAAACAAAAACAAATTAAAAGAGCTCTCTCCGCCACCACTGCCGCCTCCTTCTCCTGGGCTCCTGGCAGAAGGTTGTTCACTATGTGCTCGTTCGGTGCTGACCTGGTACTTCTTCTGTGTGGAAGCTGAGGAGACTCTGAGCTCACCACGGCAGACGAAAAAACCTAAGGAAGGACTCAAGACTGAGAACGATCATATTAATTTGAAGGTGGCGGGCCAGGATGATTCTGTGGTGCAGTTTAAAACGAAGAAGCATACACGACTTAGTAAACTAATGAAAGCTTATTGTGAACGACAGGGTTTGTCAATAAGGTAGATCAGATTCCAATTGGACAGGCAGCCAATCAATGAATCAGATAGACCTGCACAGTTGAAAATGGAGGATGAAGATAAAATTGATGTGTTCCAGCAGCAAACAGGAGGTGTCTTCAAAAAATAGAGAAGCCTGCTGTTTTGCTCCGGAACTCTGTTCCTACCGACCAAGAATACATTTTCATTAGAAAACCGCAATTTGGTTCCAGCACTTCCTGACTACTACAGTATAGTTTTCACTCTTTTTTCATTTCCCCTTCCCTATTCTTTTACTGCACATAAAGTAACCTGTACACGTAAACATGCATATTGCAGGCTGGGGTTGTTATTTTTTTTTTTTATAAACTAAATGGCCGATGGTATGTTTTACTAATATCAAGTGGAGATGGGATGGGAAAATTATTGGTTCTGTGAAAATTCCCCCTTTTCCCATAAATGGAATGCTCATTCAGCTCTTATCTTTATATTCTAATAGGTTATTTTTCTTTCACTGTTTAACAAAAAATTACATTAAAAATAATCCTATGTAACTTGTTCAACTGAAGAATTTTAAATGAATTTATTATACTAGTTTATTTACAAAATTTTAATACTTTGTTTTTCAGACCAGATTCTTCCAATTTCCCTCACCACGCCTCAAACTGTACAATTCCATGATTAATCCACACCCACCCTGCCCCCTGCACATCTTCATGCCTCTGCTTCTACACACTTCCTCTGATGCCCCCGCCCCCCCATATTCATTCTACAATAATGGTATTATACAAGATTTGTCCTTGTGTGAATAAATTGGTTCACTCAGCATAGTGCTCTCTAGTCTCTCTCAAGCTAGGTAATAATTTACAAAAATCATTGCTCCTGTGTGCTGTGTAGTATTTCATTGTATGAATGTACCCTAATTTCTCAATCCATTCTATTGTGGTTGGACATATGGGCTGTTTCCATGTTCTTACGCTGGTGAATAATGTTGCTATGAGCATTGGTGTACAAATCTCTGTTTGTGCCTCAGCTGTCATATTCTCAGAGTGTATTCCAAGCAGTGGAATAGCTGGGTTGTTGCAGACCGAGGGTCCCAAAGAATGGAATAATTTTATAATTATTAATAATGAGGCAAACATCCAGGAATGAGAGAGAGAAGAGAGCATAAAACAGGAGGCCAGCAATTCTAGACTGAAGACCCCAAGCCAAGCTTCTCTATATCTTTATTGAAAATTATCAGGAAGTAAATCACAAAGAGAATTCAATGCAAATGAAGCCAAGCTCTTTCTATTGAAAACCTTCTGCTTGACTCAGGAGGGATGGGTTCACAAATGCAAGAATTTGGTTTACCCATAAGGATTACCTTGATGCCTCAGGGTGAACTCTAGTTGAGGAAGTAACACTCCCTCTTTAGGGGGCCGCTTGCTGTCTCCTGTCTGCAGGGAACAAACAGCTCATTTTCTGGGATCTACCACAAAGAGAAATCCTAACTTATAAATCTGTAATTCCTTCAATTCCTGAACAAGGATTTTCATATAGTATTTGGCATAAAGTTTGGCTTCCCATACTGGGTCATACAGAATTTCTATGTTCAGCTTTTTGAGGAAGCGCCAAACTGCCTTCCAGAGTGGTTGTGCCATTTTATAATCTCATCAACAATGTGTAAGAGTTCCTATGTCAGCAAACAGCAAATGTTGGCAAGGTTGTGGAGAAACTGGAACTCTTATTCACTGTTTGTGGAAGTGTAAAATGGTGCAACTGCTGTGGAAGGCAGTGTGGCACTTTCTCAGAAAGTTGCAAATAGAGATACCATTTGACCCAGCAATTCCACTACTGGGAATATACCCAAAGAGACCATAACTGCCACCCAAGCAGATATATGCACACGCATGTTTATTGTGGCTTTGTTCACAATAGCAAGGAGTTGGAAACAACTTAAGTGCCCATCAACCAACGAATGGCTAGAGAAGCTGTGGTATAGTCACACAATGGAATACTATGCTTCATTGAAAAACAAAGAACTCATGCAATATTATTCAAAAGGGGTGACCCTGGAGTACATTATGCTGAGTGAAATATCTCAATCACACAGGGACAAATACTGCATAGTGCCACTGTTGTAAAACATGACTGACATCGGGGTTGGAGGGAGACTGAGAAAGATGGGATAAATAAAGTATACAGCATTGAAACAGATGAGGGAGAAAACTGTTTAAAAGGGATATGTGATTAATATTATTGTCATGACAGGAGTCCAGAGCGAAGGCTGCAATAGTGGAGTGGACCTGGGGAGAGGGATTGTAAAACAATGAAAGAATTTTTCTTGTATTTTTCAAAGAGAAGAGTGTACTGGGGCAGGGACGTGTGGGCAGGGAGAAAAGTACAACAATGAATGAATGGAAATCCAAAGTCTCTGTAAATTTTCATTAAAATTAGTAATAATAATAATGATGATAATAATAAAGTTCCTATCTCACCACATCCTCTCTAATATTTATTACTTGTTGCCCTGTTAAACTTTGCCTCTGTTACTGGAGTGAGATGGTATCTCATTGTGGTTTTGATTTGCATCTCTTATTGCCAGCGATTTGGAGCATTTCTCTAGTGTCTGTTGGCCATTTGAATATCTTCCTCTGTCAAAATTCTCTCCATGTCTTTTGCCCACTTTGTAATTTGGTTAGCAGTCTTTTTCTTGTGGAGGCCCAGGAGTATTCTGTAACCTTTCATTATGAGACTCTTGTCTGAGATGGTATTCCCAAATATTTGTTCCTAGTCAGTAGGTTTTCTTTCCACCTTTTTTGAAAAAGTTTTTGATGCGCACAGGGATTTAATCTTTAGAAGGTCCCATTCATTAATTTTATCCTCTTCAGATTGTGTCTTTCTGGCTGTCTTTGGCAGTCTCTTTATACCATAAACTAGGCCTTCTAATGTCTCTCCAGGTCGCTTTAAGCTTCATCACAGCATGATGGCCCCACTGTAGGCAGACTTCTTACTGAGAGTCATAGGCCTTTAGGAGCCAGAAACTGGTAAACAAAGTGGAAGCCTTTTATAACCAACCTTCATAAGTTATGTAGTTTCACTTCCACTACTATAGCTCTGGTAGCTTAGTAGTAAGATGTGCTGCCAACTCAAAGGCATGTAGTTCAAATCCACCAGTTGCTCTGTGAAAGAAAGGTTGACAAACTCCTCCTCCTGCATCTGAAAACCCACTGGAGTGTCAGCTAATGGTTAGTTCAGACTTGAGGGTACACCCCTACCACCATCACCCACACCTAACAACAGGAACACACTCAGTCAAAACAGCTCCAAGCCCTCTGTTATTCAAAGGCAGTGGGCTTAGATTTCTGTCTCTAGAGGAAAAGAATGTCAAATAATTTGCTGTGATGTTGTAAAATGGCCTCATACTTAGGTCCAGAACTTCTGGTTCTCAGGGTAGCTGTATCTTCAGTTCCTGTAATGCTAACTCATTTTGCAAATAATTTCAATCATTTTATACTCACAGGAACAGTGTACAACCACGCTGGTTGCTCTACATTTTGATAAATACTTGATGTCTTTTTCTTTGAGCTAACTGACTGGTGCAATGTAATATAATATTATAATTTCAATCTCCATTGCCTTGACATTTCCCATTTTACAAGTGGTAACAAGCTAATTGGTATCCCCCAAAGATATCAGGTCTTAATCCTGGAAATCTGTGAATGTTGCCTCCCCCCCCACATTTTGCAGATGTGATTAAGATAAGGATCAGGATCTTGGTTTAGGAAGATGGTCATAAATTATCTGATAGACCTTAAACACAATCATAAACATCTTGATAAAAAAGAGATAGAAAGAAATTAGACAACCTGGAGAGCAAGGCAGAGATTAGACAGTGAGCAGATGGAAGCAGAGACTGGGGGGAAGAAACCACAAGTCAAGGCACTCACTCCAGGGGACGAGGCACCCACCACAACCCAAACCACAGACCAGAGGAGGCAGGGAGCAGATTTTCCCCCAGAGCCTCCGGAAGAAGCACAGCCCCACCAACTCCTGATTCCTGACTCCTGGTCTCCTGAACTAGAAGAGAATACATTTCTCTTGTTTTAAACCACCAAAGTTGTGGTAATTTGTTACAGTGGTCCTAGGAAAAATAAGCTAATTTTCCTATGTTTATTGTCCATTTGGATATCATCTTACATATGTTCAAATATTTGGTTGATCTTTTTACTTGGTTATCTGAGTCTCTGCTCTCTGATTTGTAAGGGTTCTTGTTATAGAATCTAGATATGAGTTGAGCTGATTTATCTGAGTTCTTTAGGAACAGGTTTGTTTTGAGATTATCATTGGAAGTGTAAAGAGTTTGTTGGGAAAATAAACTTGTGAAAGAAAAGAAGAGTAGGATTATGTAGAAGGGACATCAGACTGCATTGCAGACTTGATTGTCAGTTGTGTACCTTAAGTTGGAGCTGACCCTCCAGCAGGTTTTCATAGCCAGTAAATCACATGGGAAGAGACTGCTTATCTTTCTCCCATGGAGCAGATGGTGGATTCAAATGGTTTATCTTTGCTTTGGCAGGTCAATTCCATACCACTAAGCCAGAAAAAGAATGAGTGAATTTTGCATTTACGAAGATTTATTCATTGCAAATACTTTTTCTAAAAGACACAAAAGACAACTTTTCACGTGGATTTCACTGAATAGGCTGCATAGGATTCAGATGGACTACATTTGTGGAAGAAATCATTAGAGAAGCTCAGTATCAGTCAAAATTAGGCCAGGGGCAGACTGTGGGTCAGATCATCAATTACTCATATGGAAGTTTAAATTAAGGCAGAAGAAAATGAAAAGAAGTCCAAAGGAACCAAAATATGAGCTTGAATCAATTCCATTGGAATTTCATGATCATTTTAAGAATAGGTTTGAGGCATTGAACATCAATGATAGAAGATCAGATGAGTTGTGGGATGATATTAAGGGTATCATCCATGAAGAAACCAAAATATCATTACCAAAACAGAGGAGAAAGAAAAAACAAAAATCATGTCTGGAGAGAAACTAAAGATAGCACTGGAACGTTGAGAAACCAAATGTAAAGGAAAACACATGGAAGTTAAAGAGCTGAACAGACACTTTCAAACGGCAGCTTGGTAAGACAAAGGAAAGTA